CCCCTCCACCTCCCCGCGGCCCCGCCCCCTCCGCCTCCCCGCAGCCCAGCGCCTCTTTCCGGGTTCGTTCCGTCCTACTTTTCCTGCCGGTCCGTCCCCGCCCCCGGCCAGGGCTGGGAGTAGCTGAGCTCAGGTCTCGCTCCCAGCCGAGGGGGAAGGAGCCGCGGAGAGGGCGCCGAGTTCCACAGGTGGCGGGTTAGGATGCTCCTTCCTGGCTCCGGATGCCTGCACTGCGTGCGCCTACCGGAAAGTAGGATCTCGGGGAAATTACAGTTAAAAGGACAGTCGGGCACGTGTACAAACATTTTGATGACGTATTCCAGCAGGGCTCCACGGAGGAAGGAACGCCTAAGGCAGCCTGGTTTCGTGTCCAACCGGAGGGGCGGAGGTGTGGCTGAAAGCAAGGGGAGGAGATGTCCGGTGGGATGTCCGGGTGGGAGCTGGGAACACCGACCGCGGTCACTCCCTCACCTGGTCCCCCCAGGATGACTGCTCCCACCCCAGAACGGGAGCCTCTCACCTCCCATGAGAAACGGTTGGGCAATACAGGCTGCTGTGGGAGAACTGGAACTTGCTATGTTGCCCTAAAATCAGGACCATCCAGCTAGTTTCCAACTATGCCGCACTATCAGAAAATGCTTCCAGCCCAGCCCCAGTCTAGGATAGCTTCCTCCATTCCGGTCGATTTTGTTGAAGAAAACCAGCTCCTGATTGTGTTTTCACAATGTATCTTCTACTGGGCTACCAGAAAATAAAAGCTCCTTAACGAATACATTGACTGAAATATTGACAAAAGCAACTTAAGAGAAAAATGCTTGTTTTGGCCCACAGTTCAAGGGTACAGGCCATCATGGGAGAAGTCCTGGTGGCTGGAGCTCTAGACGCCTGGTCGCAGTGCATCCACAGTCAGGAAAGCAGAAGACAAGGAATGCTTGTGCTCAGCTCCTCCCATTTTATGTAGTCCAGGATCCCAGAAAGGTACTATGTCAGTTGCCCAATCAAGACAGGCCCTCAGAGGCATGCCCAGAGGCTCAGCTCCTGGGCGATACTAGATTCTATCCGCTTGGCAGTGGAGAATGACCATCGCAACTGCTTATGTAAGAGCTGCAGGACAGTGAGACTCCTGAGATGTTAACAAGAACTGTGCAGCGGGGCCTGGAGAGACAGCTCAGCAGTTAGGAGCCCTGGCTGCTTTTGCAGAGGACCCAGGTTCAGTTCTCAGTACTCAATGACTGACAGTGGTCGAAACTCCAGTTCCAGGGGATCCAACGTCCTCTTCTGGTTTCTATGGGCATTGCATAACAGGAGTACACTTGGAGGCAAAACATTCCTACACATAAAACAAATCATTTAAGAGAATTGTGAAGGAATTTTAGGCAAATATGTCAACTTTTTATCACTGTGACAAATATTAAGAGAAAAAATTAAAGGATAAATAGCTTATTTTGGCTAGTAGTCTCTGAGGTTTTAGTCTTCCATCACCTTTCTGCATTACTGTGGATGTGTGGTGAGGTAGAACATCATGACAGATGGGAGGACTGGCAGAGCAGCTCATCACATAGTGAACCGGATGCAAAGGGGGAGACCTGCAGGGTCCCAAGCAAGACACAGCCCCAGGTCTTGCTCCCAGGGTCCTAGGCCTCACCTTTGACTATTTCAATTCATCCCAATAATGATAATACCGGTCCATATGTAAGATGGGTGTTTCCAGGATCTTGTCCTCTTGTTAAAACAATTGAAATAACGACTCACATAGATTTAGAAAAGGAAGAAGGAAACTTTATTCAAGACAAAGGAATAGAAGTCAGATACACTGTCGAGTGACACACTGAAAGGCCCCAGCGACTGTTTGGAGTTTTCTTTCATGGGTTCAAGAGAAGAAGGAGTTTGGCTACAAAAGGGTGTAATTTGGGTGGTTCTCTCCTGACTGACAGATTATCCAATTTTTCTGTTTTATTGCACATGCCTCATAGTGCATCTGATTTTAATCATATGCATGCCCAATTATGCATAAGATAGTAAACAGGAGTTTTTCCCTAAATGCTCACTTGGGGGGCAGTTTGTCTTACTGTGCATGCACCTAAGACTAGTTCAGGCCAGATTGCCCCATAGTTCCCAGATGTAACTGAAGTATGATTGAATAAGGATCTAAGTTTGATGGTTAAGGAGAGAGAAACTCATTCCATTTTTTTTTTTGAGATGGGTACATGCACACATGCAGGTAACAAACTGCTAAGTGCATCATTGGAAGTGGGGTATGTACATATCCTAAATCAAGTGCTAAATCCCAGGTTGCTAAATTATTCCCTATCCTTATCTTCCTGGGTGCCATCAAATTATGAATCCATTAGTAGAATAATCCATTAATTTGTTTAGGACCCTCGTGATACAATCACCTGTCAGTGACTAGATTCACAAGCCTTTAACAAAGGAGCGTTTGGCAAGGGCACTTTATCCCCAAACCATGACATCATTTCAGGAGTGGAAATTTATGTTCTTCCCCACACTAAAGAGATATTAAGATGAGATACCTTATCCACATTCAGCTTCAACATTGGTCAGGGTTTAAATTCTGCATTGAAAGAATACATGATAAAAATGTCTGGTGGAAGCTGGGCAAGGGGGCATGGGGCATATGCCTTTAATCCCAGCACTCCGGAAGCTGAAGTAGGCAGATTTCTATGCGATCAAGACCAGCCTGGTCTGTATTGCGAGTTCCAGGCCAGCTGTGGCTACAGGGAGACCCTGTCTCAAAAACAAAAGCAAAATGTCTGGTGGAGGTTTAGGAAGTTCTAATGAATCAGTCAAAAACTGTCACATCATGAGATGACCTAGACGCTTTTTTGGCCCCTGTAAAGCAGTAACTTGGAGTTACCACTTCATTTTTTAGCCCTGGCTCTTGGATCAACTTGTGTGAGACCAGGAAAAAAAACTGTGGTTTCAGTGCTAAGAAAGTTTTGGATTCTTGAATGTTAAAGCTGAAAAGAGCTGTAGAGATATGATTATTCAAGTCAATATTCAGTAAGAACTGAGTTCAATATAATCATTTAACAGATTAATACCGAAGTCTTCAAAACATAAACTTGTTCTACTGGTCTTCTATAGCTAGTTAGAAGTCATGCCTTCTGATGCTAGTTCCAAATCTTCACCTGTGCCTACCTGTCCCCCTCCCCACCTTGCTTCTCAGATTTTCTGCCTATTTCTTCCATGACTGCCACATAGTCAAATTCTCAGATAAGTGAAATATTGACTTCACAGTTCCACCAGTGAGCAGAGTAGCTAATCACAACCTGTGTTTCTTATGATATGAGTGTCTGGTTCTTCCTGATGGCAAGTACTCGATGCTTAAGTGACTAACTTCTAACCTTATTCCTGTGGTTAGGTTGATGACCTTCACACATGTGAAGGTCACCCTGGATTCCTAGTCTTCCTTTGTCTAACCTGCCAAATCTCTGACATCCATTTTATGATCAAGCTGATAGCCTAGTGTGGTGGTTTGAATGAAAATGTCCCCCACAGGCTCCAAGTGTTTGGACATTTTGTCCCCAGATGATGGTGCTGTTTTCGGAGATCTTAGAAGGTGTGGCTATCCTGGAGGAAGCCCTCTGGGGGTGAGCTTAGAGAGTTCTTAAGCTTTGTTGGATCTCCAGTCGCTCTCTTGCTTTCTGTGCCTGTGTGATGATATGAGAGCTTAGCTTCTGCTGCTCCTGCTCCAGCCACCTCACCTCCCTGCCATGATGGACTGTAATTCCCCTGGAACCATAAGCTCAAATAAACTCTTCCTTCTAGAAATTGCTTTGGTCAGTGTTTCTATCACAGCAACAGAAAAGTGACTAATAACACCTAGGGCACTATATCCAAGTGAAAGTTGAAGTCACGGGCTATTATGAACTGGGGTTCTATGTTCTTTGAGGAATTTATGATCTTTCAAACATCAAGGAAAGCAGAGACTCCCTATGTGAAAAGTGATTTCAAGGTCAGAGCTAAGATGCTCTAGTATTTATGCAATTTTAAAAGTCTGGAGGGGGGCTGGAGAGATGGTTCAATGGTTAAGAGCACTGACTGCTCTTGCAGAGGATCTGGGTTGAGTTCTCAGTACCCATATGGTGGCTAACAGTCATCTGTAACTCCAGTTCCAGGGGAGTTGACATCCTTTTCTGGCCTCCATGGACACTGCACAATATGGATGCACTTACATACATGTAGGCAATAGTATACTCATACACATGAATAAAAATAAGTAAAATTTTTAAAAATTAAAAAGTCTGGAGGTTTCTAACTCCATAACTGAAAATAGTTTGAAGAAACCTTGTATACCAAACTCAGACTATTTTAAGTACCAGAAACAGGGTAAATAGGGCCAAATAAAGTGGGGGTGGCAGGAAGAGTATACCGTATGAGTAACAGTAAAAGTTCATCTGTTTCTCAAGGCCCTGAATCAGTGTGATTCTAGAATTACTTCTTGAATATCTTGCTCTGAGGACAGCTTCAGCCACAGAGTGGCCAGTGTAACATCACACTGCCAGCACAACCTGATTGAAGTGTAAAACCTGACTCTGTCACTCACTACTATCCAGACAGATTTATTTACTCAGCAGGCATTTATTAAGCATCTAATGAAAGTCAGATGATTCACTAAGCACTGTGGGTACAAAGTTAGATGAAACACTGCCTAGGCCATTGAGAGCTATGGAATAATACCAGGCTGGGAAATCACAGTCCACAGGCAATGTTTGGCCTACCCAGTTGATTTTTCTAGACTTGAAACTAACGGTGGCATTTACATCTTAAAATGGTTGAAGAAAATCAAAAGAATAGTTTATGAAAAATGAAAATAATATGAATTTAACTTTTGGTATCCATCTATAATGTGCTTTTGGGGATTGTAGTCCTATTTTTCCATTATTGTATTCTGG